TTCGGAGTTCTCAGGAGGAGGCAAAGTTGAGGATGTCTGCCACTTTGTGGTCGTACTCTGTCTTGTCCATGCCGACGGTGGCGTTGCCCTTATTTGCGCGGAGGATGTGGATGGTCTTGTCCTGACGCAGTGAATTGATGGCTGCCTGTTCCTGCTTTGGGATGTTGGGTTTGGCTGGCTTGTGTTTCCGAAGGGCCTGATGGACCTGCAGGCCGATCTCATCAGCTGCGGACTTGTCAAGGTGGCGGAGGATCGGTTCGGTGTGCTTTCCAGAGTTCGTAAGGAATGTAAATGGAACTTTTAAACCGCACAGTCGAGACTGTACTAAACACCTTGTCTCTGTGATATATGAGTATACTCTATATTAAGAAATTTTTTTAGAAAAATGTCCTCCATCATTGACCTCATCTTTAAAAAGCTTCTGAAGTCATGATTTTGAAAAAGGTATCTCTAGAGGTAGATACATGGATATCACCTGAAATGTCAGTGTATAAGCAGATAAAGTTTCTCCAAATACAATAATGACATACATGTAGGTTACTCTTATCCTAACATTTACATACTCACCACTCAGCTTATCAGCAAGATTGATGTCCCCAACTTCCCTTAGTGCTTTGCAGAGAGCTTCTCTCTGATTGACATCACCTGGTTGTTTCTTCCTCCATGCCACCAGCATCCCATTGATTTGATCACGAACATTAGAATGATTGTCCTTGAAGTGAGAGATTCTTGCTTGGTTGAAGCCAAGCTTTGCAGCAAGTCTTGTCCATTCATTTGCATCAATCTGTTCAGCTATGTCATACAGACTGCTATCATCCAACTCTCCTGTTGTGAAAGAAAAGGACAACATTGGAACTATCTTAATCTACATTGCACTGTAGAATGGACATGGTAAATGGTCCCAAACAGCCTCCTTTGTACCAAGAATATCAAACATAAATGAAAAGATTCATGTTCATCTATTTACTTCATTAGTACTTACAATATTCATGTGAGTATACAATGGCTTTGGCACTTACACCCCCTCTCCCAACAAGTTGATTCCTGTTTCCATGTGCATACCCTATTCTGATCTCATGATCCTGAGCTTGAAGTATGAATGTGGGAAAAAAGGTTCAATAGACTTATCATGTATGCAACTAGTCCCTGTTGAAGTGTTAAGTGTCATATCAACCAGTTAACACTTTGCTGCACAGTAAGTTAGTATACAATAAAAAGACTTAACAATTAAGGCCCACTGCTGATGTTTCAACATTCAACATTCATCGTTCATAAAACTTATCATGACATTTTGCACAACAAACATCGCCATCAATGTTACAGTAGAATCCTTTTAAAGTCGAATGCCTAAACCAAAAAACCATGTTGCGCAGCAGGAACCAAGAAACTTTCTCTTCCCAAGTAAGACCTATACCTATTGATGCACTGGTGCTGCAGGCAATATGGCGGATGGCTCTTGCTAAGGGCTATTTGTAGGAAGCAGCATTTCATAAAAATTATCCTAGCTGTGGAAGAAAATCTAAATGTTTCAACATGCCCTGTCTTCCAACTAAGCACCATCTCCCTCACTGTAGAATGTGAGCCTCTCACAATACATATACCTTTCCAGCAAAGGTGACCCAGAAATAATTATTTTCTACACAAGAAAGCATATGGTATAACTCAAACTCTGGTTAGTACATGTACCTGGTGTCTGTGAGCATGAGAGAGCCCTCTGTGTGGTTGCTTGCTTGGATGTACTTGGTTGATTATCTGATATATTATCAAATAAAACAAAACACATTACAACGTTTGCGACTACAGGCTGTGCAAACAACCATGTCTTTTAACTGCTCTAAATTTATTAACCACTTCATGCCGGGGCATTTTTCAATGTTGATGATGCTGGGCCGGCATGACTATCATTTTTTCCGTGTTCAAAATCCTTCAAAAATTCATCATTTCATTTAACAGTCGTTTACAGCTGCACCAAAAAATCTTTAGGCTCTACTCTAAGTTGACAGGTGACCTTCACTGACGCCCCTTCATTGACGCTCTCAATACCCAAAATCCAGGTATACGGTTTCAAAACAAGGCTGGATTATCACCACTTTTGAGAGTGAAAAATGTCAGTAATGCCCACCAGCCTGGTCTTTTGTTCGGAGTACGGTCTTTTGTTACAGGGCCCTGTTTCCTTCGTCCGAGTTCGGAGACCCCGGCCACCCATATAAACCATACGTCTCTGATCCCGGAGTCCCCGGCAGCAAGTGGTTAAAATTATATCTACATGTAGGCCTGTTGATTGCTAAATATATTTCTGAAAAGAGTGATTTGATAATTTTATGACAAATTTCCTTCCTTCTTGCATGAACCCATCACTACACATTTCATTACTACATACTTTCAAAGAATGGAAATTTATAAAAATTGCCTTTGCAATGTTTAGTTTTCCTTTGGGACAGTGAAAAAGTATGGAACGCCAAAGAGGGAAAAACTTGGAGGCAACACATCGATCGTTCTTCAACATCGATCGATCGTTCCCCTACATCGATCAATTGATCTCTTTTGATCAATGAAGAAAGAGTGATGAAAAAAGAGTGATGACAAAAATGTGATGACGAAAGACCGACAAAGAAAGACCGATGAAGCTACATCGATGCCAATGTTATGTAACCTCTTCCAGCACCAAATAATATGTATTCCCTGTAACCATAGCCCACCAGCACACAAGGCCACCCGTGTTCGGTACCCATTAGTCTGGTCCCGAGCTAATTGAGTTGTCAGATGAGTGTTTATATCTAGTTTCCTTGTCATGAAACCACTGAGAATATTTTCTATTTTCCCCTGGATGGGATGCCAGTTCATTATGGGTCGCTCCCTAGCCACTATGGGCACCTATTTTTACTCCTGATGACTCAAATTTTATTTTCCACACTAAAAGCATTCCGGCAGAACTATTCTGTCAGAATGCTACTCAAAAATCAACCCTCATGAAGCTCAGTGCCAAAGGAAATTAAACTATAATTATATAGTTTTTTAGGAATCCCAAGTACATCAAAATCATACATGCATAGTGAAATTTGTTCAAACAAATAATGGGAACTGGTGTATTAAGTTTGATAATATTATTGCACATAGTCTAAATTATTACCAACATGTAGGGAAAAAAGAAGCATATGCTTTTGGCTTTCCCTATTTACACACACAATGGTTCAGACTGGACAAGAAACATAAGACAGGAGACATGAGACAAGACAACATGATACACTGGCAGGATAGACAACAGTTAAAGACAGATGTGTTAGATCTTGAGACCAGACCTTTAAAGAATGGAAGTAGATTGGCATGATTACAGGATCTGAGTTTCATTATTCAAACTAATAAGGTAGGTTTTGCAATAATAAGTGCTACATCTGCTTCGGTAACAGGGCCGAAAAATAAAGAATGTGCACATCTTTTATCAAGAAAGTGTTCAAATGAACTGCTTGATTGAGGAAGTTCATTTGCTATTTTTTTGCCAATGTTACTGAAATAATCATTGAAAGCGTTAGCAATATCAATGTCAAAATCAATTTTAGCATCATTTTGCGTATAATAGGAGGGATTTTGTTTAACATTCGTTTTACCGAGCAACGAATTAATAAGCTCTCATGCACGTACCTTTAACATTATGTTTGTCTTTATTAAATTGTTCACCTAAGCAATTTTTCTTTGCCATTGATAACATGTTAATTTGTTTTTAAACTTTAAGTTGGCAGATTTATTATAAACTATAGGATTGTGAAGATATTTTTATACACATTTTTTTCTCTGATTGAGTTATAGATTCCTTCCGTTATCCAAGGTGGATTTGATTTATTAATACGACTTTGAAGCTCACACTGTGGAACATTTCCACATAACAACACACAACAAGAGGCATTAACGTTATGTGGAAATTAAAGTTATGTGAAAATTTCCACATAACGAGGCATTAAAGTTATGTGGAAATCAAAGTTATGTGAAAATTTCCACACAACAAGAGGCATTAAAGTTATGTGGAAATTAAAGTTATGTGAAAATTTCCACAGAACTTTAATGCCTCTTGTTCTGACGGTAGCCCATATAGACCATGACAAAAACTTTTTGTTCCCTTGTTCCTTGAACTCTTTTGAGTAGTGTAACACAACTATTGCTTTCTCCCATCACATTGTAACTTACCTGTCAAGTTGTCAGCTAGTTGTGCATTTCCAACCTCCTTCAATGCTTTGCAGAGAGCTTCTGTCTGATTGACATGAACAGGTTGTCTGTTTCTCCAGGTGACCAGCATCTGATAGATTTGTTCTGCAGTGAAGGAGTGATCAATTGGAAAGTGGGAGACTTCTGCAGCACTGAAGCCAAGCCTTGTTGCCAGTCCCTTCCATTCACCTGCATGAATCTGTGTAGATATGCTGTAGAGGCTGTCATCATCCAGTGGCCCTGTTATAATGAGAAAGGCAGACATTATAAAATAGAATCCGTACTGAAATGAGCAATGTTCACAAACATGCTGCCCACACAATATTTTCATCTCAGTTTCTTAATTTTAAAAACAAATGAAACCATCCAATGAAAGTACTGCAAAAACTGCACTGGATATCTATGTACACATGTTGACAAGTCCTTACAGTGTTCCTCAATGATTCAAATGGGTACCAGGCATGTATAAAGATGGCAGAAAACATTGTGGCCCATTACAGAAAACTACATTACATAAAACTTTAAACAAAGTGGATGCGACATTGTATAACCTTAAATGATTTCCGTGTATAAGTTACTGTGATAAGTTGACATGAAATGTTAAAAAATCAACTTTGGTGAAAAGTTGAAGGCAAATGTTACAATCCAATTTCAGAGCAGTTCTCCTTTTTAGGTAAACACAAATTTGCCAGCTTGTATGGATCACGACAGGCTTGAGCCATCAAGGATGATGAACATTCTGTTATAAGTTATTTTTTAATTAAAGCTGCTGTTTAGTTTCCTAATACTCCACTTGAATAACACACATCACCTGTTGCTTCATGTTGTCTCTTCAATCTCCTCTGCCTCTCCCCTTCATCAGCCATTCTGTAGGGAATTGATGAAGTTTTTGAATCTAGTCAGTTGGCAACTCAGTGATAGGATTATCAACTACATGTACATGTAGTTGCAATCAGTGAACGGAAAAAAGGTCTCTAAGACATTGGACATCCTTTAAATCTGGGGACCAATGTTTTCTATGTCCCTGTCATATCTGACAGATGAATTTGAAAGATTAGAACACATTCCTTGATTTCCAAGAGTGAAAAATGGTGCAAATTTCCTGCCAAACAAATACTTGCATGTTTTTTGAAATTAATTTCAATGATATTTCCAGACATGCCAAATTACACAAGTTGGGTTAACAGGACAAGTATGTCACACGCAAATTTCTAGAATAACCCAAATCTCAGGATTTCTAAAGGTGAGAATTTTCACTCATTTTGATAAGATGAACCTTATCAAACTTTTTCTCTCAGAATTAAGATGACATCTTGTAAATATTATGGATCATTAGAAATGGTATGCGTACAGGATACATACAGTATATGTGGCTCAGAAGACCTGTGTGTTAAAACTGCAGATTTGTGTGGTTAGTTTGTCCTAAACACTGTAAGCAATTTCCATTTCACAGCAATACTGTACATATGCTCGCGTTTATACATGTACACATGAATGTAGGTTTTGAAATAACTAGACAAATCAGTGATATAACCACCCAGTTTTTCCAAGCCCTATATCATATGTAATCCGCATCCACCCCATTCCTTATAGTCCCTATTCAATCAGGCTCTTTGTACACCTACATGGAGGTCCCATTATAACTACATGTACCGGTAGGTATCACTATAACTGTGCATACTGGTCACAGTGGTTTTGTTCCGGCCAAAATATTAATATGTGTCACTACTATAATTAAGAAAGCTCCAACTATTGGGCTGGCTGAACTATTCTTGGCAAATTTTAAAGGACAACTTCTCAAGCTTCCCCCAGCTAATGCATCTCCCGCCTGACATAGCACATTATCTATGAAATAAATCAAAACTTGTTTTTTGAATGTGCGTCGTGGATGTAAAAGCAATGGCTTTGACATGCTCTGGTGTCCAGTTGTCCACACTGAACATGCTGGACATCTGTGCTGTAGTTGGACAGTCCAAACTGACGTTGGGACTGATGGCATACATGTACAGTAGTTAGGGTGTAAACAGCTAGATTCATGTAAATTTCACAATGGTCTAATTAGCAATAGATCTCCCACCTGCTTGAGGCAACTAGAACGGAAGTTACGATAAAATACATGTGCACCAACAGCACCAAAGTAAATACATTTTGATATGTGCATAAAAGGTTAACTACTTGTGACCTTTTAGGCATATTTAGACAGTTTATAAGATATAAATAAAGAAATAACATACAGTTTCAAATATCATCTCGTATACAATGGGGAAATGGAATTCATGGGAAGGGGAGTGAACCAGAATTTCTTCTAAGCCGGGGGGAGGGGAGTGCCAACCCATTGTAACAGTGGAGTTGAACTGATAATGATAATGTGCAAAGATGAAAAAATAAAAGCAAGGAAGATGGTCACATTTGTCTGAAACTGGGATTTCTGTGAATGTCGCAATGCCATTTTGTGGGTCAAATAAACATATTTGACAGCATTTTACGAGTTATAAAAATCAATTAAGGTCTGTAGATTCTGCAAATAACATATTCATTCTCCCAGAACCCCGCTG